AAGACAAAAGGTCACGTGACCTTGTAACCGTAGGTCCGATTTTCGAAAAATTATTTTAAAAGATGCGTAAGACTCAAAATTAAAAGTCATGAAGGAAAATTTTATATCTGCCGCGGTTTCGGAGTATCACGAAATTTCTACAGGGGGGGGTCAAATTGACCCCCCCCCCCCCCCAGTTAACATAGGTTATAACGAACAAGCCCTACTCCTGGGTGAAGAGAGTCACAAACCTGTTGAAGTGCAGCAGGGATGGTATGATCTTCGAATAGTGCTACCCAGGCGCTCAATGTAGTAGTTCCAGTCAAGAATCTACAAAGATGATATAATAACAAAATATGACGATACAAATTCATGTTTCTCTCGCATTCCTACAAATTTCTCGACATAAACAGTTATAATTGAATGCTTATCTCATCCTCAATACTCAGAGATGCCAACTTCTTGCCACAAAAACAGACTGAATATCCCTAAAAATCAGATTTTCTATCACTGCCCCGGCCAGTAAAATGTCAGAAATGTTTTAACGGTAAGAACGGTCAAATAAAATGTTAGCTCTTTTATTAACATTCAATGAGAAAATTGTAAAGCATAGATTGTGTCGGGTTTCAGCGGTTTATTTGTACATGTTTCTATGCCATTCAGTTTTTTTTGGAAAGATGAAAATATATTTTAAGAGGCGATATCGTTTTGACGTATTTCACTCTTATTATCATAGTAAATACAATGAAATCGTACTGGTTGGCATCTCTGTATACTGCTGTTCAATTCTAAAGTTCTTGTCTGGTGTACGTACTTTGGCACAAAATTATTAGGAGCAAGTAGAGTAAGAAGAGAGGAAATTCTCAGATTTATAGCTTTGGATTCATCTTTTTCTCAATAATATTCAACCAACTTTCACCAAGTATTCAACAATCTGAGGAAAAGAAGTCTGCATCCACTAGTAGTAATAGTTCATAGGATTCCATTTGTTGGCATGTTTAATCTGGACCGAGATCATGGGGTGTTTCACAAAGACTAAGATTGACTTACATGTAAGTTGGACTTGAACTATGGCAGGCCTTTCATGCCACTGGTTCCTCTAACCATTCCTGGCATTAGTTTCCAAGGGACGTACAAATTGTGGTCACAAATCTACAGAATTAACATTTTGTGATAGTTCATTATTGAAGGAAAATATTATCTAAAGATCATATTTGAGAGACCAATGGTGAGAGCAACCAGTGGCTTGAATGGCCTGCCATAGTTCTAGTCCAACTTATATCGATCTAAGTCTTTGTGAAACACCCCCTATATCAAACAATTCTCCTTGAACACTCACTGTTCTGATGTCAAAGTCCGTCATGGTCTGGAACTTGAGCCTTTCTTGAGGTAGTGCTTCTTGATGCTCGGCTCAGCCTGGAAGATCGCCATGGGGATGGCCGCTCGGTGACCGGGCGCCGTCTGGTTTCTTAGCGATGACAAACTTGCAGGCCAAGCCCTTGTCCTTCACCATCTGATCACCAAGGACTATCAATAAAAATCAAGATAACAATTTTGTGTTAAAGGCCCACTGTACTACTTAGCTCCCTCTATGTAAAAACATGCCTAATTGGTGACCGTTGGTCCCCCATTTTTTTTCTTTTTCTTATGTTAATTGAGAGCCGATCTGATGAGATAACCACCTGTCAGTGACCATGCAGGGAGGTCAATCCCTCCTGGCCAAACTAGTGCAGATAGACCTTAGCATGATTTAGTTTGTTTCTTTCTTCTTTCCATATATCCATCTATGTACAGAGTATCTTTGAGTGAATCTTGCCATCTATCCTGTATTCTTTCAATACCAGCAATGATTCTATTCATCACTACTTTCTTACCTCTGCAAGTCTCTTTGCAGTACTGATGGACGTGGATTTCTGTTCGCCATAGTCCTCAAGCTTACGAGACATGCTGCGATTCTCAGGATCAAATGAAACAGCTCACAGTCTGGCATGTCCACAGCCTACAGAGGGAGACAAATAACACAAAGATAACAGGGACAATGGTAAACGCTAATGGCAATGGCAATTAATTTCTCAATGAATGCCCCTAATTTTCCAACTTGATAATATTAGCATCAAACAATAATCGTTATATGCCTCAAGAAGGGTGACAAGAATAAAGCTGTCATATTTTTTCTTGTCACACTTGTTATGAAAAGATAAAGTAAACAGACTTATAACCTTGAAACTATTGAATTGAGGCAATGCTTGGACTGCAACGAGGCAAAAATTTATGATGCATTTTTCTAGAAATGTATATAAACGTTGGGGTGGATGATTTGAGAAAACTTTGGAAGCAAAAAGTAGCTCGTGAATCATGTATATATTACTGTTACAAAAAAGATAACTGCATACTTTGAGTACCCCGTTGTACAGACCTATCAAAGAAAAAGTCTTTTGTCAGATATTTTCTTATTTTTATTTCATATACAGTGAAACCTGTCTATAAAGACCACCCAAGGGAGAAGCGGTCTTTATAGGCAGGTGGTCTTTATGTACAAAGTTCCTTTAGTACATGTTTCAATGAGAAACCATTTTCAAGGAGGAAAAAAATGTGGTCTTTTTATACAGTGGTCACTAAAGCAGGTTTGACTGTACTTAAAAAATGAGCATTATCACAGATTTGTTTCGCACCTTGCTATAGAGAACATCCAGCCAGTATCAGCAATCTTGGCAACAGCAGCGTAGCACTCCTCCAGGGTCGTGCCTTTCAGGAATGCTTCAAAGACAGAGGCTTGGAAGATTTTGATCAGCTGAAGCTCTCCGTTCCGCTTCACCTCAAAGCCCTTCAGCTCAGCCAACGATCCATCGAAGTTGAACACAGCGTACCTGTATCATAATAAATAATAATAATAGGCATTTGTATAGTGCCGTCTGTCTAGAAATTCTATTCCGAGGTGCACTAATTATTACCCCGGCTTTCAGCATAGCTGCCATTACAGCGCTGCAGCATTTCAATGAATTGATTCCTGCCAGGTACCCACTTATCTCACCTGGGTCGAGTGTGGCAAATGAAGATTAATGCCTTGCCAAAGGACAACGACCTTAAACCACTCGACTACGAAACTTCTACAGAGAGTATAAAAGAGAGAGCAGTGCAGGGAGAGTCAGACAGGGGCAAGAATAGTCTGGCAGGCACATAAAACTGTGACTTAAGTATTAGGTAAACAGGAAAAAATAGTCAAAGAAATTCAGTCATGCAAGTAAAAGTATAATGAGAAAAAGAAGCTCAAAAAAGGATCAGATTATAACAAATTGTCATTGCAGGTCATTCAAACAATTAAATAAAATTATGAAAATATGCAATTGATCAAATGAACCTAACCTAATGATACTCTTCAAAACTGGGTGGTAAAGACAGCATTGAATTACCTTTAAAACACCTTAGTTAATCAGGAAAACTGTTTCTTAAGGAGAGTGCAGCCTGACAAGACTACGTCTTTCCCGTGGCCTGACTCGGGGCAATCTGGTATAATATAATTAGGGACCACACAACGGCAGCAATCACGTGCATGCAACATACGCAAAACCGAAGCGTGAGGAGAACTTTGGTCTGTTTCAAGAACGCTGACCATGTAGAGATTAAGTCACTGACGACCGTTAATCAAGTCCATTTGTTTATGTGCAGTTGTCCAAAAAGATGTAGATGGCGTTAACCATTATTTTGCTAAGCTACACTCCCTGTAAGTGTAGATATACCTTACAATGAATCCCTTTACATGAACATTTCTTCTAGTTTAAAATGGCGAGCGACCCTTCACCTTTGACCTATTGACCTCACCTCTTCTTCAGCTTCTTGCCTTCTTCCTTGGACGCCGGGAGGATCATGGCAAGGTAGGGACCGTCTACCTCAAAGAAGATGGAGTTCTCTTTCCTGACCTGGTAGGTCAGATTGCTGGGGTCAACCAACTCCTGGTATTGGTCGTTGGTGTTGTAGTCCTGGAGAGGATAGCAAAAAAAAAAGATATTTTTATTACTATATTTTCCAAATAACTGGCAGGTTATAGAAAGGTATCGATCCCATTTTATAATGTTGAGAATCATATTAGACAATGGGTTTTATATGTACAAACTTTGCAACAGATGGATGCCAAGGAAGGACCAAAAGCCATCAGGGCATCCTTTAACGAAACTGTCAAAATTACAAGTTCAATGACATCCCATTGAAAAGCGTGTATTAACCAAAACAAACTTTTTAATGAGATGCTGGCAAACATGTACAGTCAGACCGCAGCCGGTGCAAAAACCCTCTATTTTACTCAGCACGTATGCAAGATTTACGTGTCTTGTATACGTAATGCGTAGTGCAGACGGTCTTCCCGATCGGCAGTTTTTGCCTTTATAACTGTTCATTTCTCATGAAATGGGTCTTATTTTAAAGATAAGAAGTTGCACTCTCTATATACTTATATGACAATCATGTTAGATATATTTTGAAAACAGATATTTCGCCTTGAAAATGGGGTTTTTCGACGATAAATCTATCTAAAGAGTAGGGCTGATTTTCACATAGAAATCATTCTTGCGTCAAGAAGATGTTATAATCAGCATAAAGCATAATATTTTTCTTTACAATGATATCAAAATTATTTTTTTTACGCTGTACCAAAGTCAGGAACCAAAAAAAATCACGCCCATGTTTATGAATAATTAAAAAAAGTAGTCAACTTTGCCGATGTGATAATACAGCGTTCTGATTGGTCAACTACGTCAACTACGTCATATATGTTCCGCTTTGGTTTATTAACATTCTAAAAACCAGATTTTAGTAACCTAGTTTTGTGGCGTGCGCCTGTAATGCACGTGCGCATAAGCAGTCATGGCAACGATCTGAGGACCCTGGATCAAATACGTTAATTGCCCTTTTGATAATTATTTTCTACAATATTTCTTTTTTAATAATCATTTTTCTTATTTTTTTTTACCAGTTTGTGGCGCGGTGGAGCTCCCTGGAGTTTAATAATCAGTTATACATTGTCATTGCTCAGACGGCGAGCGTGCACGAGTATGAAATCACACAATTTCGCGCCATCATAGAAAGAACAAATTGGTAATTTCCGGGTTTTTGGGTCTTAATTATTATGATTATAAAGAAAACATGATTTTGCGTCAATTAGGTTTTGACATTATTTTGATCAGTGACTTTTCATCTTTCCAACGAATCTCAAAGTAAACAAATTAATTATGTACCAAAGTCAGGAACCAAAAGTGAAATTCCGGGTACAAAATAGCTGTTGTAATGTTACAAAAATAACGACCATAAAAGTGGTGAAAAAAGATTGTTTCAAAATTGTGAAATATGGCAAGTTTCATATCAAACTGAAGCTGAAAATCTCTAGAGTAATTACCGTTGCGTGCTGCCATGTTGACTAAAGTTATCGACCACAAAAGCAGCTGATTGTACACCCTTACAAATCTCACAGAAAATCTTGTGAATTTCAGCACACGTGAATGCACGAGATTACCAAAGAGACGCTGAGTAAAAATCAGCTTTCAGCCTCATTAACGCGCGCGCTGCGGTCTGACTGTGTACTTATGACAGGTTTGTGAAACGATGCCCCGATGAATACAGGAAAAACTTAGAAAAGTAAGAGAACAGATATCAGATCCTCAAGTTCATACAAGAATAGCGACTCCCAATTCATTAAACTTTCCACATACTCTGCACCAAACTATGAACAACATGTGTGAATACTGGAGAGCACATTCCATTGTGGGATCTGACTGAGGATTTTGAAACGATGACTTGGAAATATCAAACTAAAATCAACCAAGAAGACAAAGATGTGGGGTAATACATCTGCAGAATCAGGTGGAAAACGAATCCACATCATGAAGTTCATTATCGCCCCAGGGTAGAGAAATGCCACTTTGGGCTTTTCTGTGGGCTTTAAATACACATTTGGGCTAATTCTGCAAAGTCATTAGGAAAACTTACCCACATCATGATGTTAAGCATTGCTCCAGGGTAGGAAATAGCCACTTTAGGCTTCTTAATGGACTTTAAACTACACAACTTGGGCTTCTATGGGACTTTAAATACACATTTGGGTTGATATGTCTGCAGAGTCATTAGGAAACTCACCCACACGACGATGTTAAGCATGGCCCCTGGGTAGAGAAAAAGCCACTTTGGGCTTCTTTGTGGACATTAACTACACATTTGGGCTGATTTGTCTGCAGATTTATGAGGAAAACTTACCCACACCATGATGTTAAGCATGGCTCCAGGATAGGAAATAGCCACTTTAGGCTTCTTTGGGTTGGTGGTCTTGATGTCAAAGTTCTCAGGGAAGCTGGCTGGCATCACGCACCAGATACCGTCTGTGTCCAACTCAAGAGGGCGTCTGTTCATTTACATACATGAAATTAAACAAAGTTTTAATGTAAAGCTCATAAATATACAATCAGTTGTATTCAACAGATATTTGCAAAGGAGTTTCATTACCAATCATCACCAAAATTAGAATTATATATCTCTTTATTCAACTGCGTCATCAATTCTTTCCTTGAAAAACTACCATCATCAACAATAATATAACCAACATCAGCAAAAAAAAGAGAAAAAAAAAGAAAGGACAACAAACACTTCAACTTTAAAAAGTGCTTAATTAAGAGTACTATTCCTAGATGTACATGTACCACTGACAGAATTACTAACATCCCCAAAATTGGGCATCCATGCTTGCAACTGCGATGAACACCTTCACCAGCTCCATGTTTGTAACCCTCCACACCATCATAAAGAAGAAAATAAACATACCCGATCTGTTCAATGAGTTCCCTGGCCCTTGTGATGATCCCAGCTCCAGTATAGCACACAATACCTGCCATCTCCATCGAGTACCAGCGAGATCTAGAGAAACAAAAAATTCTTCAAATGATCTCTTTATATCAATTTTCTTGACAAATGGTGATTTCTCATCAGAGCCTACCTTATACAAATCTTTCATCTTTTACTAGAATTCCTGAACCCATTTTCTAGATATCAATTTGCTTTAAATTTGCTCAGGTGCATTTTGGCATGATTGAGAAACCAAACCAAAATCAATTGAACCAAAACATTCTAGTTAATTTGGACACAACTAAAATATGAATTCTTGACATGATCTCTTTTTCAATTTTCTTCACAAGATGTGATTTCTCCTCTGAGGCTATCTGTATATATCTTTTGTCTTTTACCAACACTCCTGATTCCAGTTCCCGGAACCCTTTTTAGAGCATTCCAGAGCTAATTTGCTTTTGATCAGGTGCATATTGTCTCTATTGTGACAAGGGTATGAAGACACAAATAAAATACCCAAAGTTCCAAAACAAGCATATCTAATACACACAGAAGGACACACATACTCCAATTGCTTCTGGATTGGTAATCATGTTCTGGATAAATACAACGATGTACTTGTAATGGTGAATGTATACACAACTGCACATTCTAAAGATTCATTCATTCATTAATAATGATTTATTAGATTAACAATTCAATGGCAGCCGCTGAAGGCTGAATTTATGAGGTGTACAGTATAACAAATTGTAAATTAACAGTTGACAATTACAAGTATTATGAAATCACAATCAAACATGGTAAAACATCATGATCAAAATATGGAATGTATAATTTATATAAAAAGATTAGCAGAATGGTTGTGGTATAAAGAGCAATCATTGACTGCTCATCATGGATTCCAGGTTAAAAATACAGTCAAACCTGTCTATAGCAACCGCCCAAGGGAAACACAAAGAGTGGTCTTTGTAGACAGGTGGTCTTTGGAGACAGGTTCCTTTAGTACATGTTTCAATGAGATAACATTTTCAAGGGAAACAAAAAAATGTGGTTTTTGTAGAGAGGTGGTCACTAAAGCAGGTTTGACTGTATAGCCCTCAATGGACCTACCCTTTTCTCATCACATAGCCATAGAATGAGTTGAGGATACACTTGTGGGCCAGCTGCAGAGAGTCGTAGAGGATCTCCTTGTTCCTTGCGCTCTTGATCTCGGCTGCATCACCCTTCTCCATGGCCCCTGCGACCTTCCTCTTCCAAACCTGCCGTGAAAAAATAAAGATGAGTTTCAAATTTGTACACCATCAAGGGGGTGTTTCACAAAGAATAAGATCAACTAAGTTGGACTTACCTATGGCAGGCAGTTCATGCCAGTATTTGCTTTCATCATTCACTGGCATTGGTCTCTCAAGGGACGTACAAATCATGGTCACAAATCTACAGAATTTTTCTCAGTATAATCTCAGTAAGGAAAAAGGCGATCTTGGGTTAGACAATTTAGGTATTAAAATGAAAGCCTTATTTATACATACTATGTTCCCACAAATTAACCAAACTGATGATTATTCATGTAATTACTTGTTTTTACGCTATTTTATGGCAAGTATATTACATTATCTGTTTTCTTTTTGGTGGTCCAACTCAGTTCCACATTGTGATGTTTTGTCTCCCTCTTATGCCCAAGCTCGGGAAATCATTTTGTATTTAGTAATGAAGGACAAAAAATCTGCATGCAGTAAAACAGTTAAAGATACTGTCAACTTGTTCAAAATTGACTTTGTACCAGAAGTGTTGGTCAGAGATCCATCAAAGAAATGGGATTTTATTTGGAAAAATGTTAATCATTCAGTTTTTTGTAATCGTTTCAAATCTTTTATGTGGAAAGTAACAAACAGAGCACTCTATACACGTGAAAAACTTGCCAAATGGTGTTTGAGCAATGGCTTTTTGTTTACCATTTTGTTTAACATTAGAAAGTATTGATCATGTTTTGGGGAATGTGGATCCGTTCAGAGAATTATTTGTTGAATATGCGAGGTGGCAAAGGAAGTGCTGGGTGGGCATGTTTTATTTAATAAGGATTGTTTTTGGTATGGATCCTCGGCTACTATTAATGCATGTTAATGGGCACGAGGTTGGTATTTATTTGTTGTTACACGCAAAGTAGTGTGGAATCGACGTTGTCCATATATTTTTGAGAAATTTTTTGTTTCTGAGGATATTTTGTTATTAAGAATTAGGGATGAATTTTGTTTACGTTTGGTTGAAGACTGGAAAAGATGGTCCAGACATAAGTTTGATAAAGTTTGGATTGACCTTGCAGCAGCTACGCAGATTGTTAAAGAAAAACAAAGGTGGATATCTTGCAAGGCTGAGAAATGTACCGTGGACTTTATGACCTACGAGAGCTTCGTGTGCCACATGAGGGACCGGCACAGTGAACTGAACATTAGCAGGTATGCATGTCCCCTTAAATCTTGCAAAGTTTCTTGTAATACTCATAAGGAGTGGCTTAACCATCTGGTGGGCCGGCATCCTCAGTATGTGTGCATTCACAATATTGACTTTTTCAACCAATATTTTTTATTGGAATAAATTGATTTTGGTGCGCTCCTCTAATTAATCATGCGCCCTCACAATTTATCCTCTTTTAATTTTTCACTTTGTTCGGTTAATGTTCACGGCTTACGAGATTCATTTAAATGCAGAAATGTTTTGAATTGGTTAATTATCTTTTCTTTTGACGTTGTATTATTACAAGAAACATATTTAGGTGTGGGGTGAAGCGTCGGTCTTCAGTTTCACCCCGAAGACGTTCCAGATCGTCACATGGCCGCGGAGGCAATGAAGCGAAAGAACTGGTGGCAGAGACCGAGATTATGAAGGAGGAGCAGAGATGGATTTCGTGTAAAACGGAGAAGTGTACTCATGACTTTATGAAGTACGAGAGCTTTCTGTGCCATATGAGAGACCGGCACAACGAACTAACTATTAGCAGGTACGCATGCCCCCTTAAGTCTTGCAAAGTCACGTGTAATACTCCTAAGGAGTGATTGAATCATTTGGCGTGGCGGCACCCGCAGTATGTGTCCATTCACAATATTGACTTTTTCGACTGATATTTTTTATTGGAATGATTTGATTTTTGGTGAACTCTTCTAATTAATCATGCGCCCTCACAATTTACCTTCTTTTAATTTTTCAGTTTGTTCGGTTATTGTTCACGGCTTACAAGATTCATTAAAATGCACAAACGTCATAAAGTGGTTAAGTATCTTTTCTTTTGACATTGTATTATTACAAGAAACATATTTAGGCACCAAAGATTTTAAATTTTTTAATTCAGTTTGGGAAGGTCCAGTTTTCTTTTTGGCCTCCCGTTCTAATCATTCATGTGAAGTTGCATTGCTTTTTCTGAAAAACGTTGTATTTTTCTCAACTCAGGCCTGATTTAGAGGGGCGTGACATCTCTGTATTATGTTCTTTTCCAGACTGTTGTTTTCGTATATGTAATATATATGCACCGTGTAATCCAAGTTTACGCATTACATTTTTCAATGGATTACATTTTGCAATGCGAGGAAATGTTCCTCTTATTCTCGGGGGTGATTTTAATTGTGTAATGCATGTCAATGATCGACTTTGTGAGACTGTGAGCTTTGTAGGAAGGAAACAATTAAATGACATTATTCATTCTTGTTCGCTTTTGGATTCTTGGTTGGTGGCAGGAACCGGTGCTTTTTAGTCATACTTGGTTTCATCCGGGCAAAAAAACAAAGCTCTCGTTTAGACAGAATTTATGTTGAAAAAAAATTCAAAGTAATCAAATCGTTGGTTATGAACTTTCCCCTTTCAGATCATAACGTTTTAAATTCAGTTATTCGTATTCCTCAAAAGAAAAAATTGTCAAAATCATATTGGAAATTGAATGTATTATTATGTGAAGATGATAAATTTGTACAAGAATTTGTTTTTAATTATAAGATGTGGCAAACTTTAAAACCAGGTTTTTTCTTCTATTTTAGAAGGTCCAAAGAAAAATTTCTAGAAAATGGAGAGAAGCCTGGATATTTTTATAAGAATGAACAAAAAAATGCTAATAATAAGTTTATTGACAAAATTCGAAACAAAAATGGACAAATTGTAGATGGTGATGATATTTCTGATGTGTTTTACAACTTCTTTAGTGATTTATATGCTAGTGACAACAATGTCGATTCATCATTACAAGATGTGCTTCTGGATTCAATTCAATCTAAAATCAGTTCAGATGAATCAGCGTGCTTAGATTTATTTATTGTATATATGTTGTTTTTATTCAGGGTAAAAATAAAGACTGGACTGTACTAAATATGGTAGGTATAGATATTGGCTGTGAAAAGAGGAGATATCGAGGAATATTTGAAGCACTGACCTTGAGAAGACCTTTGAACTCATAGCGCCGATCACGGAACGCCCTCACCGTGTCGACGTAGAAAGAGTTCTCTCGCTGGCAGATGGTGGTGTGTTTTTCTTCTTGCTTCGTGATCTTTGTCTTCTTGTACGCCTTGCGACAGTACTCTAGGAGAAAGAGAGAAAGAGATGCAAGAATCAGGAAAAATACTACCAAAGGAACTGCAAAAACTATAAACTGTTACCCGTTCTTAACCCTTTTTGGACAATCATTCCATATTTTCTGGTATGGCTCAATAACTATCGGTACTAATAAATATTTTTCTTAGCGACATCACATTTATTAGAACAATGTAGCAATAACAGAAAAACATTATTGTTGCCAATTTGAAAAACAGCACATGATCAATTTAGCCCTTAAATTAAACCCGTCCTGAAATGGTTAGCGACAGCTGTTTTTCTAGTCATGAAACTTGCCGAACACATCAATATGAGTCATTACTAACTACCATGTATGTGACATGAAGATTTGGTAAATCTATAAAGACACTCTCAAGATTTGGGAAAGTTTCTTGCACACAACAGTTTCTTCTTTTACAGAAACACATGTTTGATCTCAGTTTAGAATAGGTTTGGGGTTAGGTTTAGGTATCCTATCCTATTGGTTCATAGATTCAAGATGGTATTGGCTTAGTACAGTGAAACCTGTCTGTAAGGACCACCCAAGGGAGACAAGAAAAGCAGTCTTTATGGGCAGGTGGTCTTTATGTACAGGTTCCTTTAGTACATGTTTCAATGTGAAATGACAGGTAGTTTTTCTATACAGGTGGTCGCTAAAGCAGGTTTGACTGTAGTAGAAATCGGTCATGGAGCAATAGTTATTGAAGGGATCTGTGGGGCAATCACTTGTTTGCCCAACAAAAATTGCATTAGTGGTTTAACAACAAAATCAATGTGACAATACCTTGCAGTCTTTTCTTTTCCAGCAGGGCTTGTTCCTCTTTGCCCAGTTCATGGAAGACCCTGTGAGGTTCGCCGGGATTAGCTGGAGGGATCCGCTCAATCTCCAACTGCTGTTGAATTCTGTGGTACTCCCCCCTCGAAGCTGGCACTGTAATGGAAGTACAAATATGTGATGCAGACAAAACAATGTGTTACAGGTATTTTCCTTTACATTATCTTCTGGTGCTGAATACTTTGGTACCCCCCCCCCCCCCCCATTTAAAAACAAAAACAAATTAAAAGTTGTTACTATAGAACACACAGGATACATATTCAATTCAATTCAAAAGAATTTAACTACAAGGAAGAAGACACAAATCCTGATAAGCAAATCTTGTAATGGGTACGCCCGAATACACAAATACATGATTATAAATAGAAGAAAGGAAGAAAGGAAGAAAGGGATAGGCAAGGAGGAGAAGAGGATAGAGAGTTTGGAGAAAGAGAAAAGAGGAGGACTGCAACACAGTAGCAATGGAGTTTATGGCATGCATAAACAACATAATGGTAAGACATAGGTGAAGGGTATAATGTGGAAATATTTGTCTGCATTTTTATAGGATAATACTGGATTTATCACCCCTACTTCTGTATGGGTATCGATATAACAGTAATAAAAAGTAAATGTAAATTAATATCTTGTAAAAGAACATTAGTGTCGCGGCGTGACTAGAACGGCTGACCATGCGATTCTCAGTCTTGAGACGTATCCACTCGACCACGCACACCTCTACCGGTATACTCGTATTCCAAATAATGGGGCTATCCAAGTACCTATTTCACAAAGCCTTTTTCCAATGACAAATTGCACAAATCATTGACAAATCTGCTGATAACCAATTAGAAGCAAGGATTTCAATAGCTTATAACAATCACTGTCATTTGTCACTGAGACAAGTTTAGTGAAATGGGGTCCAGGGAATTAATGGATGGCACATGAGGAGTTTAAAGTGAATTCTGTGTTCCATCACTGCAAACTCTTAGATAAAAAAATGATAACTGTATCAAAGAAGGCCTTTAAAGCCCCACTGCACTAGTATGGCCAAGAGGGATTAGACCTCCCTACATGGTCACTGACAGGTGGTTATCAGCTCTCAATAAGAAATAGAGGATCATGGGGGACCAATGGTCACCAATTAGGCATTGTTTGCTATACAGAGGGCTCAAGTAGCTTTAAGTAGTGCAGTGGGGCTTTAATCAAAACTTTTCTTGACTCACTGTAATCTCCCCTCCACATCCAAGACATCTCCCTCTGACAGCGAGCTCCTGGTTTGTTGAAGTCACACGCAGCGCACACTGCCTCGTCCACCATAGCTGAGGGCTGAGAGAATAAACAAAGTACATTAGCATACCTACCAACATTTGAAAATAAGAATTAGGCATTTTGAGCATGGTATGCCTTCAAAAATACAAAATCGCACTTGCAGCGACAGTGTAACCGGCAATACGCGGTAAATCTGTAAAAAAAAAGTAAAAAAAAGATTTGCTGCTCGATCGTGTAGCCATTCAACACACACAATACGTGAACTCTCGAATCGTGCACATGATAAAACAAGCTTAATTTGGCTCTAGCACACACACACACACAAAAACCAATCTAATATTCTAATATAATCTAATATTCATTTCATACCAAATAATAATAATTACTAAATGATCATTAGAGCTCATGGATGGTGGACGAAATGGGAATTAATTGGACCGATTGGTTATTACACTAAATAAACAACAGAACAAATGGGTAGTAGCCTAATTGGAGACAAAGACCCCCTGTCTATAAAGACCACATTTTCTGTTTCCCTTGACAATCATTTCTCATAGAAACAGTTCTAAAGGAACCTGTTCATAAAGACCACCTGGCCATAAAGCCACTTCTCTTGTCTGGCTTTGTGTTACAAAGAAAATCATTGACTAACTGATTGCACGAGTTTCAATGTTGCCTCTAAAAGTTCAGATTTGGAACTTGCTTGTATTCTAAGTCTAGTATTTGCATGAGTTTCAAATACATACAAAATGCTATGTGAATCAACAAGATCTCCTAACATGCTGATACAATGTAATCTCTTCAGAAGAACAATTATCATTTTAATTTCAGATATCGACCACTTGAAATCAAGAAGAAAGCGAGCTACCTTAAAAGAAATTGGTATTGCCAATCTAGCAAGTCAAAATTCATTAGGTTGCATGAATGATAATTTGTAAATTATACAGCCTCTAATGCAGCCCGCATTGGCAATTTAGCAACCCCCCATCTAGCAAGTCAAAGTCCTTAAAATCAGGCATTATGGGAGCAATCATTATCGTTTCAGAGCGTCATCAAGGTCAAACACTAAAATTGTCAATTTGCAGTTATCTGCCTACAAAAATCCATGTACTTGTATGAATGCTGTCTCGTGCAATCTGCCTCAAATGTATGTGGCATTGCCAATTTAGTAACCACCCACCTGTAACCTGTTGGTAAGGATGATGTTGGGGTACATGGCTCCGACGTCAAGATGGTAGATGACGGGGTTCTCAAGTCTGGCAGGGTTGTCTCGAAGAGCTGCTAGCTTCTCCCTGATCTCCTCACAAATCTAGGTAACGTAAATGAGAAACATAGTTAAAACATGCACAATCATTTAGATATTGCATTTTCAAATGCCTGTAAATTTAAACCTCGTAAGCTCTTCTACTATACCACTTTTAGTTTACTTCCGTGAAATCCATATTACCCTGAGAAAATTCAAAAGAAAAAAATTTACCATATCTTTGTCAATTTGCTCTACTGTAAGAGTTGTGACTTATTAGTGGTTTTGAGCAGCCAGGTCACAATAATTTGTTTTAATTGATTAAATTTCAATAGATTATATAGGAATCTACTTTCATTAGTACCAAACCAAAACTCCTTCAAATGAACAACTGTACAGCTTTATTCTGTTAACGCATAGGATTAGGGACACGATTTAGTTTTAGGTTAGTTAAGGGTCAGGGTTAGGTCTATATTTTAGTCAAGGATTGAACTTGAAATTTGGTTGGAGTAGGAAATCGAGGAGCAGTTGTTGTTGGAACATCTGTCGTAGTTAAAGAGAAGGTCGAGTTCCGGGAAGAGGTGAAAAATAATTTGTGAGCGTTATCATTCTTATTATGTAAGTGTGGAAGAACATCAGACATGTTCCCTTTTAAAGCATGGCTCTTCAAATGCCTTCATATTCTAAATATGTCCGGTAACATCGTAAAAATCAGATTTTTACACCACGTGTTCGTGTAGTCCCCTATACATCTTTCTGTGTACAGTGTTTGTAACTTTACCAAGACTTGACCAAATTTCTTATCATTTTGATGATTCCAGAACCTTGCAATACACACAAATTCTTATATGCTAGATGATCAACCTTTTCTGGTCGATTCCACACCGTTTCTTTCACAATGCAATCGCATGACCAGAACTCAACTTCATCTTTAACTCACCTCTTCAAAGTTAGTGACTGTGCTGAGGGGTATCTTCTCTTCCTCCTCGATGGCGTGTTTCATCGTTCGCTCGACATCCTCCATCAACTGCTGGAAAGCCTCAGGTACCTGAACAAGGAGATAAAAAGGAGAGGTGTGATACGTTATTTGTTTTCTGAGGAAATGATATCCTCTTTGTTCCATTTATTTATTGATGATTTGTTTGTTATTTCAACTTTTCCTTTTTGTCACTATATGTCTCAGCCAACTGTGCGTCTGTTTGTCTGTCGATGTGTCTGTCTCTGTTTATGTTAATCCTGAACACCCAAAGCCTTAACATGCCCTCGGAGATAGGTCTCCAAGACTACTCATTCTCTCCTCTTCTCGGTCCTTTTCTTGTTCTCTCTACATCTCTCTTACCATTCTAAAAATGGCATGGCAAGTCAATCCCGAAGATCCCTGACTCCAGAGCCTCAACGTGCCCTCTCTCTTCTCTTATTCTCTGTATATTTGTCTCTGTTTGTCCATTTCTTGTCTGTCTGTCTGTCTCTCTCTCTTTTTCTCTCTCTTACCATTCTGAAACAGCATGGCAGGTCAGTCCTAAACACCCCAGACTCCAGGGCCTCAACGTGACCTCCGATGTCTCCAAGATAAACATCTCTCTCTCTCCTCTTCTCCTCTTATTCTCTGTTTCTCTGTATATCCGTCTCTGTCTGTCCGTCTCTATCTCTCTTGTCTGTCTCTCTCTCTGTATGTCTTTGTCTCTCCCTCTTACTCTCTCTTACCATTCTGAAACGGCAGGGCAGGTCACTCCTGAAGACTCCAGATTCCAGAGCCTCAACGTGGCCTCCAACGTAGGTCTCCGTCTCCAAAAGATGTCCGTCCTTGGTCAGCTTGTTGAACACTTGCTCCTGCTTGTTTGGGAAGATGATGTTGGCATGGTAGGCCTGGACCATCAGCAAGGCCTCGCAGAGAGTTCCAGACCCCTTCCGCAAGACCTAGATAAATCAATAGAATAGAAAACTTAGAAATATAGCTTTTAAAAGACAAGCTCAAGCCTTCATGATTTGTTGACCTCTAGGAAGAACAGAGCAATTCAATTTCATTTTATGGCCCTGAATAGAGCAATCCATCCGTATTTTTTTTAAAGTAAATATCATTATATTTCATGTTCAATGTTTGTGTTTTTTATACAGAAAATAAAACCAAACCAAGAGGGCATTCATACAGGGTGTTTAACATATCGAGACATCTCAGAACAAAATTTGTTTATTTACAACAAAAAAATTGTTTAGTCATCGACTATGTCACAAAGCGGTTCATAGAGGTTCTGCAATCCCTCATTACCTCGTCCGGTTCCATAGGGATGATGGTGCACAGCGCGAAGATAAATGGATGCACGTATTTCATATACAGGTAGTACGTCGCCACTGCGTCCGAGACGGAGTAGTTGGCCAGGGTCTGGGGCTGCTCGCTGGCCATGCGACACATGTCTTCAGGGTCCATCTCAATGGGGTCGTAGCGGAGCTTGGCCCTGGATGCAGCCTTGAGGTTCTGGGAGCCTACAGGCAGGTAGCTGTCACGCTTGACCCATCTAGGGATTAGCATAGAAATTAAAATATGTTTACTGACCATCCCACATCTTCATCTGGCCCAACTCTAACCTCAGATCTAACCTAAAACCCAATGGCACTACTTAACCCTATCCCCATATTTGACATTTGGCAAAATAACCCCAGGGGGGAAATGCCATCAGAACAAATGTCAAGAAACAAAATATCACAACAGCAAATTTTGAAATCATCCTTGTGTATAACAATTTTACCTTGAAGTACTCCCTAAACGCTTACCCTACCACTAACCGGATTACATCTGTAAGCCTAGTCCTGTATCTTTGATGGAACAAAGCAGAAAGCAGGATTCATAGGAGAAAATGACGGCAAAGCAAATATTGCCAGGGCAAATGTCATTAAAACAAATTTTACCACATCAGAGGTCACGAGAGCATTGTCATCACCACAGCACATCTCGCTAGAGCAATTGAAATCAGAGCAAATATCACCACAGCAAAAGATACCAGAGCAAATGTTCACAAGATTAGATGTTGCCAGAGCAAAAGTCGACTCAGTGATTGCCTACCTGTATGCATCCATGTGGATCACACTCCTACACTTGTATTCCCCTGCAGCATCCTTCTGGAAGCCAATCTCTCTGTACATGTCAATGCCATAATGTTTGTATCTGGTCTCAATGAAAGGCCTGCATAAACAGAAGAAACAAAGTTTTGTTGAAGACGCAATTGTTTTTTAATGCTGTTTTTTATGTTTTTGTTAATGTGTGTAAAGTAGCTCTGTTAAGAGCTTTGTTTTTTATCACAGCACAGTAGAGTATATCTATAAAGTAGCTGTGCTTTATAAATTGATCTAATTATTATTATTGCACACATTGGTCAATGCAATAAATTTCAACGCGATCACGAGAACGGGACGTACAGACAACTTTGTAACGAAGGCATAAAAAGTGTGAATACATCTCACGGAGCCATCGGTTAATTCCACAGACATCCACTTACATTGCATTTACATAATTTTGCAAACATATACCGGTAAAGAATGAATCTGTATGTCCACGAACTAAGAATAATAATTACAGTGAAACCTGTATATAAAGATTGTTCACAGGAGACATGACATGTGGCCTTTATAAACAGGCAGTCTTTATGTACACCTTCCTTTAGTACAGGTTTCAGTGAGAAATCATATTCAAGGGAAACAAAAAATGCAGTCTTTATAGACAGGAGGTCTTTCTAAAAGAGGTGATCACTAAAGCAGGTTTGACTGTACAACTTTTGTTTATATATTGCTATTGCTTGTTGGAATAGACAATACGTAAACCAAACTGACCAATCAAACATGTCTCCGTTGTACGTGACAATGATGTTGGGCTTGACCTCCAAGACGTGGTCAATGAACTTCTGCAGGCAGGTCATCTCGGTGTCCTCGTTGTACACGATGAAGGGTCCTTCGTACTCCGGCTTCGGGGTGTACTCAAAGTCTTCTACGTCTTCTGCGATGATCTCTCGGTTTGTGATTAAATATCCCTGGAGAAGAAAATGTGACGAATAAAAGGAATAGTCATAATTTGTGTACTCCTACAATTGCAAAGGAGGATTGGAGGGGGGGGGGGAGGGTTTGGAGAGGGATAGTGGAAGTTTACAAGTACCCTTTTGAGATGATCTCAAGATTTGTGATTAAATATCCCTGGAGAAGAAAATGTGACAAATGAGAGAGGAGGATTGAAAAGACTGCGGATCTAGGGATATTTCAAGCATACTTTTAGTCTATTTTTTCCCACCACCACCCCCCCCCCCCTCCATTTCTCTCCGTTCCTCTTTCTTTCTCTCCTTATCTATTCCCTTTCTTATTTTACCATACTCATTTTCCCCAATAGACTGTACTGTTATAAAATCATTAGGAAAACAAATTCTAAAATTTTGATTTCCAATCATAATCAGGCAGACGATCGGCTTGTAAAAGTTATGGGATTCCTGACTGACCTAAAGATTTATAATTGCAACGTGAGCTAAATGAATCCAGGATTTTGTTTAGAATCTGAGACAAAGATGCCCAATCACTGTAAGGACTATGGGAGGAGAGAAAGAATGGAGGAAAAAAAGAGTATCAAGGCTTTTCATTTAATTTAATTTTTTAATTTAATTCACGATCGTAAATATTTCTCACCTGTCCGTCAATCATGTATGAGATCATCATGACACTGTCCGTCTCTGCGTCAGGAAACTTGAGGGGTAGCTTGGTGGTTTCAATGTCAAAGGCCAGTACAACAGGGTCCTGAGGATTAAAATATATGGAAAGTGTTCTGGAATGTAGCAATATCAGATGTTAACAATTGCACCAAGTGAGATACTAAATTAGCTGTATAATGGTTTCCAAGTAACAGTACGTTGTCTGAGATAAATTTAGTTCCATATCTTCCTTATAAATTTAGTCATTTGCGAAAATACTAAGTGTCAATAAAGTAGTATGAAATGAATCGATAAGAACCAATTTCATTATTATTCACAAACGAGAAAGAAACATTGTAATCTCCAGCTTAATTAAAATCAATACCATCTTGAGTATGGCCAGTAATCACATCCAGTGACCACTAAATTTACAAGGCAGATATGGAACTAAATTTATCTCAGATAACGTACTGTAAATGGCTACATCACCATCATCATCATCACAATCATCATCATCACCACCATCATCAATCATCATCACCATCATCATCATCACCATTTTCACCATCATCAACATCATCATCATCAACACCACCACGATAGTTATCTCTCCAGCTCAAGCAAGGACTTACTGGTCTCTCTAGCAGGTCATCTCTCTGTGTAATGATGGGTGCCATGGAACCCCTCCCTTGTACAGAGTACCAATGACCCTGTCAAAGTGAAGGGAGAGAGGGGGAGAGAGGGGGAGAGAGGGGGAGAGAGTGAGAGAAAGAGAGAGATTCAAACAATTAGATTTGAAGAGAAATGTTAAGTCTGATGCAGAGAATGATACATTTGAAATAAATGTGTTATATTTAATTTGTATTATGTATGAGATGTTTTAACCAAATTAAAATTTAAAAAAATAAAAATATTTAAAAAGTCTGATGCAGCGTTAGCATTTGTTCATGGGACAGGGATATCAAAATCACATTTCTAAAGACAGAATTATCACATTCTGAATGTACATCTTGTATGCCGCTTCAAGTCACAAGAATATTCTGCCACTCTATTCCCCTAGTAAAGAGGGGAGTCTTGAATAACATCAAAAGCGAAATGAAATTTGATATGACAATTTTTTGAAACCGTTTCATGAAACTGTTCGCTGATATCCTAATGGAAACACTTGTTAAATTTAATAAAAGTGTTTCAATGGCAGACCTGCCAACCTCTGGATTTCAAAAACTGTATTCTTTATTCCCAAAAGTTGTATTTTACAGACAAAAGTTGTATTCTTAAAAATAAACACTGACTGTTACGCGGATCAATGCCTCTTACAGTTCCTACATACAGGAAGAATTTTTTTTTATGGATCATTGGTTGAATATGCATGATTTCGTCGCGACTGTCGAGTTCGATGAACCAATGAACATCCTCAAATTGCCGAAGTAAAAATGCTTGTAGGATACTTTGCAGGACAGAATGGGCATTTTGCCATTAAAAAAGGCATTTAAAAAATTTAAAAAAAACAACAACAAAAAATTATTAAAAAAAAAAAAATAATAATAATAATTGTTTTTTGTTTTTGTTTTTTTAAATAGTATTTTATTGAGGAAAATCGTACTGTTGTATTTCTTCTTCTAAAAATCATACAAAATACAACTAAATCGTACTGGTTGGCAGGTCTGCAATGGGTCTTCGGCAAACTTGTAGTTATGATGTAATCTGATGACTGGGTAAAAATAAACTGCTTTCAATCCTGTTTTTGCATCAGGTGCTAGATGAATACATAATCATCATTCTGTGTGTGAAAGACTTACCACATGAATCTTCTTGTCGATGGCCACTCTGACATGGTAAGGGACGTCATACTCCCTGATATCTATGATGTTATCCATCTGGTCGTTGATCTTCTTTCCTCCTGCTGCTCTGCCCCCAGGGTTGTCGTCACCACCAAGATGGCTGATGATGAAGGGAACAAGAATCAATGATGTTTACAGAGATTAAGATATCATTTGTGTGAGGTCCTTTTTCAACTATACTTTTATTTGGTGAAGTAAAGAAATTACACTTCCCTGGAAAACTAAATAAACAGTAATTCTATTTCTTCTCCTTCTTCTTCCTTTAGTAATCTTCAAAAGACTATGCAGCCTATCATGAAGAGGGTCTAAAGATTACAAGTAGTTTGAGCAAGACAAATGATGAATGAATGACAGATACTAATTATCTCAAATGTGTTTTCAATTTTTGTATGTAAGTTATGTATTTCTGTTTGTGCCATTCAGTTTAATCATTATATTGTTTATGACAAACCCGTAACCTTAGAGCAGTCTATGTCAAGTTCTGAATGAATGATAAACAAAGTATGTTTTCTATGAAAAGGACCTTCGACTAATACTAGCATTCAATATCACCTTAAAGCTAACAAGAACTTTCTCATGAATAAATGTATAGAGTATTTTAGTTCCATTCTATCTTTTTAACGATACACTACTGCTAACAACAGGGCCACAGTTTGTAAAATTATGAAGAGTCACTACCAATCGGTTTGAGGAATTGCATTTAAATACCTGGTTAGAAGGGCAGTGTAGGCCGAGGAGGATTTCTCACGCTCTCGATTCTTGCGAACCCGCGGCATGATTTCACGTCGGACCTTCATCAGATCCTGTGTGGAGTGGAAGCTCAGCTTTAGGCAGCTACACTTCAGTCCCACCAAGTGATTTGGCTGTTGGAGAATAAAAAGGGAGTATTCAGTCTCAGGAGGCAAGATGGCTTAGTGGTAATTTGCGATCTGCAGGTAAATACCTGCTTGAGAGTTCTTGAACACGTTCTCTTCTAGGTGATCAATCATTTACTGCCTGTGCATCGAGATTGTGGAGTGGTCTTCCCCAAATCCTTCGCTCTTGTCAACAGTTATCCACTTTCAGAACTCAACTAAAGACAAACCTATTTCAGATTGCTTACAATTAGTCACTGCTGTTTTGTCTTTCCCAGTTAGAATCATGAACCGACATTTTTGGTAGTTTTATAGTCTCATCAGCTCCTTTGATTAGGCGACTAGATATTGACGCTTCATAAATATCTGGATTGGATTGGTAGAGCAGTGGTCTCCTAACCGGAAGGTCCCAGATTCAAATCCGAGTCAATGCGCTCATGCTCTTTAGTAAGGCATTAATCCTTATCATCTAATCCTTCCAAGAGGATTCTAGCCTACAATCCTGAAAAGAATGCAAGTACTAAACCAAAATGGCTGCAGTAATAAAACTAATTTATTCCAATATGACAGGAAGCTACAGTACGTTACAGGGATATGCTTTAAAAAAAGGACAAGAATTGTTGAACCCATGGGAGAACTGTTCTTCATGAAACCAGGGCACTGATTGATACATACCAAGTCAAGGTCTTCCTTGTAGACTGTTTCCACTGAAGCAAGCGTTCCAAAGTGTTTCCTAGTCAGGTAGGCAGACACCTCCCTCTCACATTCTTTCTTGGTGACGATGTAGAAGTAGGGTCTGAACGGGAGGGAAACCTGAATCAGAGAAAAATAGAATGTTTCCATCAGTTTGCTTCATAGTAGAGTTGAACCTGCTTAATGCTACGGTCACTAAGGTTGGTACGAACGATAATTTTGTACGAATCTCCATGTTTTTCCATTGTCTTCCCGAATTTCCATTGTCTTAAAATCGTTTTTAACACGTTCGTAGCAGTTCGTAATGACATTTGTGACCGAGGCTTTAGTGACCACCTGTCTACAAAGACCACATTTTTGTTTCCCTTGAAAATGTTTCACATTGAAACATGTACTAAAGGAACCTGTTCATAAAGATCACCTGCCTATACAGACCACTTTTCTTGTCTCCCTTGGTTGGCTTTTATAGACAGGTCTAACTGTATCTCAATGAATTGTTGAGATTATAAACCAGAAAGAATGCTGCATTCCAGTAAAAAGTTGTTACTTTATGTCCCACAAACTGTGACAAAATCGTACGGGGGAAAGGCCATTTTCATATGCAGGCATGCAGCCACTGCTAGATGGAATAACTTGCTGGACTACTTTAGAAATTTAGATACACATCAAACCCCTTCGTGCCTGAATGTTTAGTACTAATCATCAACAATTTACTTTCAGTCTTATCAAAATTGAAGCTTGTATTCTTTGTTTCAATGGACAATTTGGCCTTGTACAACTTTCATGGGACAAACTCTGCCTCTTTTTCTTTCAGAAAGAGAGAGAGAGAGAGAGAAAAAAAATATATATTTCTACACAAAAATGATTCAAGTTCAACTTTTTTCCATGGCATGGGCATCTAGAATTTTCCCTATATTATGATAAAAGGTGTTCATTCGTTTGAAGTTGCTAATTATTATTATTATTGTTATTCATTTTTTATTTTGGGGGTGCTTTCTTTTTCTTCCCAAAACATGATACAAAATTGTAAAAAACTAAATACCATAAGTTTGAAAAACTTTGAACCAAATGTACAATTCCCCAGCCTCTTAACCCTTACTGTACTGGGGGGGGGGGGGCCTGGGAGGCCCCCCCCCCTCGACATTTTTGGAGATCGCGCCGCAACCGCTCGGAATTTTGAATTGTCGTTTCATGACTTTTTTCCTTCAAGTCTTACGCACATTTTGATACCATTTTCGTCGAAATCGGATATACCTGTAAGGTGTTACATAACAATTAGTATGCGCATGTCATCAAAAAAGTGCTATAATTGCATATATTCATGTACAAGCAGAAATGTGAAGATATGAATTGATATCAAATTGCTTTTATATGTTTCTCAAAGTAACTTGATGTATTTTAGAACAAAAGAATACATTAGAAATAAAACAATAGATATAATAACAAATAAAAAACAATGAAATACATAAGAAAATAAAAAGTTGAAAATCGCATCAAATTTGCATAAATTATCATTATTAATTACACCAAATAACTATTTTTTGTGTTAGAAAAGAAGTTTCATATGAATAATGAGTTTCAACATAACAAAAGTGGAGTCTGACAATTTTTGTAATGATTCTAGTTCCCTGTATATTACCAGATTAGATATTCATGAATGCGTAATTTGCGTATTCATAATTTATGCAAATTAACCTATGCATTTTCAAATATCATAAAAATAATGAAACCTCATGAATTTGAGATGAAGGAAACATTTATTCAATACATTTTCAAGATTCTTCACAAGTCTACGGACAAATATGTAGAGTTTTCTGTAAAATGCATAAAATTAGCATTTTGCATAATTAATTAGGCTATAACGACAAAAATTTGCATATTAGGAAAAAACTAATTATACCATCTTGTTCCTTACATAAATATCTACAATCATGCAAATTTTCGCATTCATCGGACATTCGACGGCCGAGATCATAGGGGGGGGGGCCTCCGAGGCCCCCCCCCCAGTCAGAGAGTGCTCGAAATAGCCCAGTACAGTAAGGGTTAAACAAATTTGATGTATAAATACCTTGAAGCGACTGCCGTCGTCTTGTAGGAAGTAATAGTCCACAGCACTGATCAGCTTCTTACTCTCATCCAAAATGTCCGCCTAAGAGGGTAAGAAAAATAGTTCATTAAGTCCCCTTGCATCGCTTTTGGTCACAGATAACTTTTCCAAAGAGATTTGTATGGCCTATCTTATGTAAATGTGTGCCCTGATGCTAGAAAAAGTGGTCATATGGACCCCATAAACAAAAATGTGTTCACTTTGGTTACTTTTTGGCCAAAATGACAATTTGTATTGATTTTTGTACAAAATCAGAAACAAATTTCAGTCAGAATCAATTGATATCGACACCTATCCAAATTCAATATAAAAGTGTGCCCTGATATAAGAACAATTAGTTTCATTGATTGAATTTACACAGTTTCGACCGCTTTTGTCGCTTAATACATAGTGTTTTTGAAACATTTTGAAAAATGCAAACAAATGTGAGTCCAAAGTCACAATAATCAATGTTACTTATTTATGTCATGCTTTACCCTAAAGTGATATCATGAATTAAAGAAGTTCTCATAGCCTCCAACAAATGAAGTAGCACCTTAAATTTCGTTCTTTGGAACTAATCTTTTCAAAGAAATTTTGAAGAAGAGCCTGTGAGAGAAAATAAAGAAAATTTAAAATGGCTTACTGGATGCATGTTGATGAGCCATCCCACCCTTTCGGCAGGCTCCTTGTAGCGGTCAAATCCGTACAGCAAATCCAGTTCATCATTGATTACCGATCTCTGTAGTCTGGCCTCGGATGAATCTTCTGATTTTCTGCTGAAAAGAAAAGATGCTTAAATACAAGTTATGGGGGGGGGGGGGGGGGGGGCTGGGGTCTGAACAAAACTACACAAACAAATGCCATGGCATGGTGGGGAAAAAGCAAAAGAATCTAATTCAGCCTCGGACTCAGAGGCTGGGTAGACTACATGTAGACTAGGTCTACTACAAATTAGTTTTTCTTTTCATAATATTAAAAAATCTATTCTCATCAATAGTGTTTCCAATTTGATTTAGGTCTAGAGACTAGAGTAGAGGTCTATGGTTGATTGATGATTGCAGGTCTAACTTAAGTTCTATTTCAACAACAACAAATCAACATTTTCTCATTTGAATTTGCTCAAACTAAATTTCACTGACACTGCACTGGCCAGTAAGGGTTCCCTCGAATAACATATCATACAAAACATTTCGAGGGAGCCCTTATTTAAGGCTAGCCAGTTCCTCTCACTTTCACTGTTTCAGACTCGCGTCAAATTGTCAAATTTAATTAAATTAGATCTAGATCTAGACTCTAGTCTAGCCTAAGTAAATTTATTCACTGTGAACTTCCCCAATTAGCAATAATTCAAAAACCATTTTATGTGATAGTGTTAATCTCAACGTCATTCTCCATTCAATACACCCCCTCACTTCGATGTTAACAACATTTTCAAAACAAAGCTCGAAGTGACGCCGTATGTCAGCGCACCCGAGAGCTAGATCTAGAGCTTGCGCTCGCGCTCGAGCCTAGCCGTAACTTCAGTACTCACTTGGCCCAACCACCGTCGGCGTTGTCACTGCGATCGGCCTTGTAGCGGCCGCTGTTCTGCAGAACCATTCTGAAACGATCCGAGTCTAAAACGACGATAAATGCACTCTAAATTCTGCCTTTTAAGTGACTGATCATAAAATATCAATACCCGAAAGGGGAGGCACAATTATTTGAAGATAAACAGTTTCCTCGGATGTCCATAAACCAATATTAGAAGGTTATTTCTGTTCAAGTAATGCATTCAATAACTGGAATTGTCGAAAAGATATCTTCGTCTTTGGCGCGGGCGCGAAATATATTGGTCTAAAGAGGGAGACAGACGCACACACCTCATAGGTTTTCTGTACAGCTGTTCGTGAAAACACAAGTGTTCAAAATGGGGACAAACAATTTGAAATTCTGCCTCTTTCTGTCGTGTTTGAGTCTGTTAGCGTTTGAAGGTAACTGTATTTCATGAATCTGTATTGTTTGAGAGAATATTTTTGCAAGCTATTAACCAAAATTAGTACGAATTCATATTTGTTTTTATGTGATTGTGTATGGTTGCTGTAAGTGTAAACCCGGAACTGACTGCTGTCAGTGTGTCGGTGCGGATTGCACTGCACTGCATTTGAATTTACAATTGGCCGCTCGTTGGTTTTGCTGTATGCTATAGTGTAGCCAGCGGGGCCGCCCAGTGCCCGGCGAAGATTTGACTAGGGCTAGACTCTAGGCCTAGGCCAAGGGGTCGATGCAATTAAATTATTGCCTTAATTTGATTTATGAAAAATGCACAAGAACGACATATTTTAATGCATCTCTGTTCATGCTGTTAGGCCTGATACCTGTTTTCTCTAGTCTCACTCTAATTTTGCGATGCAATATTTAATAGGCCCTGCTCAGCTGCTGCTGTCGGCTGTCTTTCCCTCATATTTTATGGAAAAAATTGTAATCCATTCCATCAACACGAACTTGTCAAATGAACACTGCACCGTGCCTTGTAGGTGCCTTGTGAGAAAGAGCACCAGCGCCCAATTTCTAAATTCTAACCATGCTAACTAACACACAGGCAATTTTCCACTGGCACTTGTACAAACAAGATGTGATCCTGTTGCAGGTTTGAGAGAAAAATGATAAATTTGGTTAAAAAAGGATAGATTTCTAGGAAATTATCTAGAAAAAAGTAGAATAGACTCTAGATCTAGACCTTTTATTTACAAAGGAGAATGTGTATTTTTGTAATCGCTTGAATCATAAGATTTCCTTTTGTGACAGCCACCTAAAATTTACAGCATCCCGTTAGGGTTAGTGATAGGGTTTAATATAATAAATAATAATGAACAAATCTTCAGTTTTATTCATTATAACATTATAACAGTTAGCATGTGATCGCATGTGCTGTAATTTTTAGGTGGCTGTTGCAAATGGAAATCTTTCCCCACCATCCCCTCTCTCTCTCTTTGAATCATGTAAAGAATCTATCTATCCCAATTGTCCATTTCTGCAGGACTCGCCCAGCCTCAGATTCAACCAATCTCCTCTGTTCAGCCGCTCACCACTGGACAACGAGTAACCCTCGATTGCACGGTCACCAACACCAACATGAATGAAGATATCGAGTGGTACCATGACGGAGATGTTGTCAGCTTTGGTCAGAATCTTCTCCGCGATCGGGAAGGAGCCTACACCCTGCAAGTGACACAAGAACAAGGGGTGCCCTCTACGTATCACTGGATCATCACCATCGCCAATGCCAATATTATACGTGATGAAGGGTCCTGGAGCTGCAACTTTGCACCTGAAGGGTCAGTGGCGCAAGTAGTGGTGACGGACCTTCTTGTAATTGGTAGGTTTCAAGCAAAACTGTTGATAATTTCACCCCTCAAATTGTTAGGAATGATTATTGTTGTTGCTTGTTTGTTGTAATTTGTGCTGTTTTTTTAAATATTCAAGTTTGGTGTGAGAAGAGGTGGGGGGGGGGGAGAATTTACAAATTAATGAATAAAGAAGGTATGGAAATAATGGAAGTAACCATAAAGAATAGAAGTTTGTTTTCACTTTTCATGCTCCTCTTGTAATCTTGTTTTATAAGTCTTAGTCTTACCAGAATACTTTCATCACTTCAAGCAAATAATATTTGTGACATTTCAGGGACAGGTTAGGAGTTTGGGTTTGTACATGTACATGTATGTTCGGTATGGAAGCCCATGTAATCAAGAAGAAGCTGTTCTTTTGACATCCATCTTGCTCATAGCCTTAAATATCCTGAGTGTAGGAAAGACAGTTCAAATGTAGCTTGGGAGCTACTGTATTGTACAGAAGTGCTTATACCAACACGGAGTGAATCATTTCTTTGACAATTGGCTTTTTCAAGTACCACTCAACCATCAGTTCTGTCATGTGTTTACGTGAACAAGTCAGCAGAATCACCACTATCAATTAATTGAATATCAGGTAGAGCAGTTAAGCCCATCTGCACTAGTTTTGCCAGGAGGGATTAGACCTCCTTGCATGGTCGCTGACAGGTTGTCATCTCATCAAATTACTGTAGCTCTCAATTAACATAAGAAAAAGGGGATCATTGGGGACCACAGGGTACCGCTTAGGCATTGTTTACTATATAGAGGGCGCAAGTAGAGCTAGTGCAGTTCCGTTTGAAGGTGAAGAACTGCTCAAGTCTTTTTAATATCATGTGTACATATATGGGAGCACACATCTCCAAGATGAAAATGAATTGTTTCTTTTGACAATCGTCCGTCTCTAGGACCTCCATTCGTCAGCTTCGTCACGTCCAACCTGAACAACCCCCCGCTCAACAGCGACGTCCGTCTGGAGTGCGTGGCCACCGGTAGTCCTCTCCCCAGCGTCACCTGGTCCAGGACCTACCCGGTCCCCTACATCCTGGTGGACGGTGCCAGAAAGGGCTTCGTCAGGCAGATCTCCAACAACACCATCAGACTCAACCCGATCACAATGGACCACCGAGGAGAGTACATGTGCTCGGTGACCAACGGCCATGGTGAGATCCAGACGAGAAAGGCCTATGTCCAACTCCCATGTAAGTTTATAAGTACATGTAGTAGTGGTGGTGGTTATTTTACCTGACTGCTAAGAAAGCATAAATGCTTGTTGGTAAGCAACCAGAGGACCGACAGCTTTATGTCCTCTCCGAGAGGCCTGGTAATGAGAATTAATGCCTTACCAAAGGACACTAGCGCATCGACTTGGTTTGGAACCCGGGTCACCGGATTAAGAGACCAACTACTACTACTTTACCAACTGAGCAATCGCACCTGGATTGAGATTTAATTATACAGCGTATTTTGTCATCTGCATTTCAATTGGCGGCTTACAGAGGTATTATTAAAACTCATGAACAGCTAAAAGAAATTCAAAAAGAAATGCATTGTGGCTCTCTTTGTATCAAAATATATATGTACCAGGTCACTTTGTATTCTGTCCATGATTTCCTGTGAACTGTAGTGTAAATTAATTCCAAGAAAGCTTGATGGCTATAAATTACACTTTAAATAGCAAAGCTAAGGACCCGTCCAGCCTGATGGCTCCCGGCATTGTGTCATGTGTTTTTAGTCAGGGCTTTGCGATCATTGAGCTGTTTCCTGTCCAAGATGAACGTATACTGGTGTTCAGAGGGCTGTCATTGACCTAATCGAGACAGGAAATGTGTAATTTTGCAAAGCCATTGTGTTGCACACAGCAATGCTTCCATCAATTGTTCTGTGCAACATTGCACGTGAGGCAGACAAGTGACTGTGCAGAGAGGCAGAGAACGCGGTTGACATGTTATATTGGTGTTGCCATTTCAGACGCGCCTGAGGTGACAGCAACGCTCAAGAACATCCGGGTGCCGGAGAATTCCGAAGCGGTCCTTGCTTGCATCAGCCAGGCCTACCCTGCTACTGCAACTGAAAGTGATGTGATGTGGACTCTAAATGGCAATGCCGTGGAGTAAGTTTCTTATTTCTTTTCTTTTCTGTTATGTTTCTTAAGCATTTATTCTTGATGAATTAAAGATAAAGGTGAGTTCTGGTCATCAATTGCATTGTGAAAGAAAAGGTGTGGAATGGATCAGAAAAAGTTGATCATGTAGCATGTAAGTATTGGTGTGTACTGCAAGGTTCTGGAGTCATCAAAATCATAATACATTTGGCCCAGTCTTGGTAAAGTAACAAGCACTGTACACAGAAAGATGTATATGGGACTACACAAAAGGTGTCGGGGCTACCAACCTTGATTTCCTAATCTTTCTATGCTCATTTCTCAGCCAGGATACATTTTCTGCCAAAATTGTTTGGCAAATGACATTTATTTGTAATCTTGAACATTCAGTGTAATTTTCGTTTGATTCTGTGAGAATTTTTTTTTTAAAAACCAGAACTCACCTTTATCTTTAAATGCTTGGCTGCTCAGTTTCCATGTGCAGAAGGCCATAATTCGCTGACACCAGACTTGGTGGAAATACCATTAATGTCTGTACACGTCTGCACACAGCAAACCCGTAGTCCCATCAAGAAAGACACCCTAGTTATTAGCAGTTTCCTCCTCAATTCCCTCCTTTATCCCACTCTCCTTCCATTCTCTCTTTTCTTGCTCTACAGTATCTCCCAGTGCAATAGATGCGAACATAATTTGATCCTGTTTTAAGAATCCTCAATAACTTTGATTGCTGCATGGTTTAGTTTTGGAATGTCTTCACGTTGTGTGATAGCTTTCACAACATCGATGTGAAAGTAAAGTTGTTTATATCTTGTAAACTGAATGTAATTCAGCCTTCAGGCTGTCAGGCTCAGTATTTTAATAAACCATACAATTCAGTTCAATAACCGAGTTCGTAAATAGCTCTGGAACGCATGACCCCAAAATATCCACAGATCTTTTACACGATGGATACGTCCCACATGTAGGCTTTAGAATAATCACTGCCAAAGGGATGGAGGTGCTTCGTGAATACCTTTTGTTTGCCTCTTGAGAAGAATACTTTGACCTGTGTATCAGATAAATGTACTGTTGGTGCATAAGTCAATACTGATTACATAACTTTCATGAGCACGATCCGAGTATTCGTCTCAATGGTTTTACAATTTGGGTACGATTGACGTTTAAATCTGCCCATGCGCAAATCCTAATTACGAACTTGCTTATTGAATTTAAAAGAACTGTAAATACTTCAATGAACTAGTACTCTTTCAGAAGTTTGTGTAAAGAACTTATCAGCTATTATCCATAGGAAGAAACTGTGCTCAATTTTTTTTCTTTCTCATCCTATTTTTCTTGTCCTTAACAGCCCAAGTCAGGGTTCTAATGTAGATGTAGACCGTCACCCTGATAATTTCAACGATGAACGCTACTACTCGCGCTTGACTATCCGAAGCGTCAATAGCAACCATGTTGGAACCTACGAGTGCATCTTTACCAACCAACAAGGGATAGGCTCTGCTACCGTGACTCTCGGAAGTGAGTTGAAACATTTTGTTATTTTCAGATTTGTGTCAATTGATATAACTTATATCTCTTATTTTAGCTAAATCTGAGAATTTCTTGGGACTACAGGCTTGTATGCTGCGGAAAATCGCTGCAGTATTTTTGTGTACAGAATGAATGGCAAATGGGGATGAAAAGGTTCACTTTCACTGTCTTGAGTGATAGAAACATACACTATCATACAGACACTTTCATTGGTTGGGGGTAATCATACAGAGCACCCAACTAGTATGGATTTCCCGTAATTGGTACAGAAATTAACGATCATTACGGAATGTTGTCTAAAATTAAGGATTTTTAAAAAAAAATGAGTGCTGTGCAGTATGACTTTATTCTCTTACTAGAAGTCAATTTTTCATGGAAAATTGATGTGTTGTCATGACCTGATAATTAAGTGATAATCAATATTTAGCAACTTTGTGTGAGTAAAATCACAAACGTAACAAGCAATCATGTGCGCAGGCCTCCGCGCAGTGTTAGCATGCCGTTTTTGTCGTAGCAAAAAGCGAGACATAGGCGCCGCTTTTCCGGTGACGGCAGCGTCAACATCAAAAACTTAACCTTCAGTTAAGTTTTTGAAATTTTGATATAATTTATAAAGTATAAGTTCTTAGTCAATGAAACTTGGACTATAGGGCTATCAAGTATCCTCAATCATGTGAGTAGAATTTCAGGTCACAAAGTCAAGGTCAAAGGTCATTTCAAGTCAACAAACTTGGACTATGTTGTGGCATCATCATCAAAAACTTAACCTAAGGTTAAGTTTTTGAATTTTTGATATAACTTTGAAAGTATAAGTTCTTAGTCAATGAAACTTGGACTATAGGGTTATCAAGTATCCCCAATTATGTGTGTAGAATTTCAGGTCACCTGCCTATAAATAATGTTCCAAACTCAATTGTTCATCATATCATTGCGTAATGTAGGCGAGACCGCCGAGAGCGTTTGCCTTATTTTTTAGATTCATAGCGCCATTTAGGAAATTACTGATTTAATCCCAAAATTACTGATTTTGAGCCTTGTGATTACTGATTTTCTGTTCTGGAGGTTGGCAGCTCTGATCATAACAAGTAGCTTCTACCATCCTTAACATATAAAAGCAAGTGTTTTTCTACTCTTGTGGCCTTTCTCAAGCCAAGTGATTATTCGAACACTTTCTTTCTGCTGCCTTGAGATCACTGGAGCCACAATAGGTGACAATGACCTAGTCATTCAGTGAAGGATTAATCCTCTTAATCCTGAAGGCTTCTTTCACCTTTCTTGATCAAAAGGGCATTTCAAACTCAATTGTGTGGACGTCATCCCATCAAATTTTAAGTCCAGTGGATCTGTTAATAACAGAATGAGATGGAACGCTCAATCTGAGGATTCTTTTTTGCTCTTTTAAATTCTATGAGATGATCACATTATTGAGTTTGGGCATGATTGGCATGCCCTGCCATCCGGACTTTGAGAAGCTTTGGTCTAGACTGATACTCCACCCATTTCTGCAAAAAAGAAGAAAAAATGGACATGCTGTTTTTTGTATACAATTGTTTATATATAAATATATATCAAAATATACATGTAAAAGTTTAAAAAAATAACAATCCTTCCCTCTCTTTCTCTCTTTTTCTCTCTCTCTCTCTCTCTCTCCTCGTTTTCAGTGGAACCGACCATCGACCCAAGTAAGTTTATATTTTGTTCCTTCAAATACCGCTATAATTGATGATGAATTCTAAACCATCCTGAGCAATACGATTGTCAAGTTGACCCTATTCTCACAAAATGTACAAGCAACTTATCATATTCATAAACTGATTTATATGCAAATGAATAAGTTATTACTCTAGTGCATTATGTGGAATTGTTTCCACTTCTGTCCTTCAATAGAATTATAATTTAAAGGGGCAGTTCTCCCAGTAAATGACTTGTTTATGATAAAAAAAAATAGAGAACAAAAATCGTGAGGATTCTTTTTAAGTTGTAATCGATCAAATGCAAATTTGAAGGTATATATCATACCTTTCAAGCCTCTCTCTCTCTCTCTCACATTTGTTGTGCTTTAAAAGATTCACAAATTGGTATTCTTTCCAAAAGAAAATATTTAAACATGCACCTAAATAAAGGTATTGCACATAAATTGTGTTTTTACACTTCCATTTTACGAGGTAGATTCCTTTAGCAACAACCAGGATATTATTATTAGATGCTTATGAAGATTTCATTAGATAGGACTGTGCACTGTAATGATCAAGTGAACGAAAATACATGTTTATTGTGTTACGGCCTTCATATATTTTTATAGCAAACTCTCTTTTCATTTTTCTTGTTTTTTCCACAGACTTCGGAGCCAAGAATGAGCTGTAAAACTCCTGAGAAACCGTTCCGTCTTTTACTCGCCCTTTTCATGATCAGTACTGCTTGGAGAAATAGGGAATGCGGTCTACTTAATAGATCTCGTTAGATGTGCATAAATCAATGGTTTTTAGCACAGGGGGTCATGGCCATCACACCCATATGAAATTGCATTTAGGAGGTGCATGTTGAGGATGAGGGGGGGGGGGGCAGTGATAAGGAATGCAATCTGGGATTATAGGGAAAACAAAAATGGAAGAACTGCTGTTTTTTTTCCTAAAAATTGCTGGGTTACAAGTGATAATAATTAGGTCTGTAATTTGGGATAATAAGGGGGGAAAATTGAATAACTTGTGTTTTTACCCTTAAAAGTGCTGTATTACTGCAGTAGTCTCACAGCTGTGGAGTGATGAAAACTTTTGAAATTCAGCCTTTAGAGAAAGCATCACATATTAAGCAATCTTATAAAATGTATTATATTTTAACGGATTAAGAAATTTAGCTACACATACATGTATCCGGTTATCTGGTTAACCTTTGGTAATTCTGCAGCGTGTATAATTCATATGGGGAACGCTGTGCGGTAATCCAGTAATTGAACTGTCATGAATTTTGTATCTAAGGATTTTAGAGGCTGAAGTCACAATAGCTCTCAGGGTAAAACAATTGATATTTTGCCCCCCCCCCCCCCCAACCATGCCTTTTGGGGGTAACTTGTACAGTACATGTAGTTTATAGTACACCTTGAAAATTGAAATTAAATGTATATAGAGGGTTAACTAAATGAAGATAGAGGGGAACTAATGATATTTAGTTCATAATTGAGCTTATTGAGCTTGGAGCACCAGATCCATTCCGAATGTACTGACTTAGGTTAAAAAGATGAATTTTAACTTGAACACAAGAATCCATGCTCTTGCCCTTCTGTACAGAATAACATCTCTGTTGTTTTGTGGGAATAATTTGAAATATGAAGAAATTGTGCCTTATATGGACGATAGTTTGTAAAACATTTCGGCTTAAAGTGCTGTCAACTTCTTTTTGTACATCCCGCTTAATTTAAATATTTTTTTGTAAACCCAGTTCCCATTTTTTCACTTGATGGTGCCAGGAAATTAAACTTTCAACTTTCAACTTTCAACTTCAAACTTTCAAAGCGACCTTTCGTACGAATTGTTTATATTATTCAAAATATCTTGGGTGCTTTCAATTTTCTTAAACAAAACTTGTAAATTGAAGTAGTGCATTTATACTACCCTTTATAGGCTTTCAAAGAAAGTACAATACTATATAAGTAAAGAAATGCAGTAACATGACTGTACAATTTACATTTTTTTATCCCCAAAAAATATTGGATAGGGTTGTCAAAAACAATTTGCTCATTTTACCAGTATTTAAAAAAATCCTAAAAGATTTGGGGTGAGGAGCATGTAAGCTTACTATTGACTTGAGGCTGCATTATGTTCAGTACTTTAACACATGTTTTACACACAGGGTTGTTGTGATCTGTTATTTGTCTAAAAAAAATATTTGCCAAAGCTTGCGGTTTAGTTTTTGCTGTAAAATTCTTATTTGTTACACTTTTTCTAAATTTCTTCTGTTTCACTTGCAAAATGGATCTATGGTACTACTTCTCTTTTTCTTATATATTTTTTTTCCAGTGGTTGAATGGTATTGATACATTTGACAGGAAAAAAATGATGTTTGAACTTGTTTTTTTTGTTTTTTTAACAGAGAATACAGTATATTTCTATTCCTGTTTTGCCATTTTTGTTTTCCTTCTGTTTTTGAATGAGTTCAATCTGTTAAAGAAAATTATGTTTTTAGTTTTGTGTTTAATTGCTATTATCTTTACTACTGTACGTCATGTTCTAGTAGAGAATTTGCATTCTAAGTTTGACCCAAATTGGTAGACAGTACTTGCGGCTTTAGTGTTTAATGTATTCCTTTCGGCCAGTATGAATTGAAAAATCAAGCAAACAGTGTATGTTAAAGTGAAGCAATAATGGGACCTACAGTATGACATTTACTTCTAAGTTCTAACTAAAAGGTGTGTCATCTAAAACGTACCGGCATTCTGTATGCCAGGCATAAATTTTGTCTGAGCTAACAGCACCTCTGACCTGCACTTTGAATATTGAAATGTAGTTGCTTCCAACAGATGAATGTTATATAGTGTTTTTCTCTAGGCAAACATTTACACGTTTGTATGCATTGTCATATTATTGGCATATTGGACTTTAACCGGCAAGGAAGATGAAAGGAATAATTTGAATCTTTTGGAATAGTTTCCAGAATCTCTTGAGACCAAGTTAAATTCCGATTTTTTCTTTTAAAAAGCCTGGTTCCATGATATAGAAACTGTTGGCTTTGTTTGCTGGGCATATTGTTTTTGATTGTTTTGTGATGGTTTTGGATTAACATACTGATTTTTTTTTTCTTCTTTCTATTAATGAAAATGAGGGCATGAGGATTTTTATATAATTGATATGTTTAGAGGCTGCATTTGTGTATTCTTATTATAATGTATTCTAGTTGCAATATTGCCAAATTTGTAGCAGTATTCATGTAGCTGAAAGTATTAGGAAATAGATTCACTGTAATTTCAAGCTCTTTGACAAAATACATAGCCATTGTTCCTCTGAATGTATGTATAAGATGTCTACATATTTTTCTTGTAATGAAGCTGCCTTTTTTTAAAGAAAACTTTCTTAAGCCATTCGGATAATTCATCATTCATTGATTGGTCAATTTGGCCATCAAAATATGAACAGTTTGCAAAACAAAAATGAAAAACACTGAAACATGATGAACATTTGAAAAGGTTTTTTACATCTATCAATTCAATTCATGGCAGATCTTATAATCTGTAATGTTTTCGGAGTCTGTCTTTTTATTTTATTTTATTGTTATCATACTACATTCGGCAAGTTTTAATGTGAATGAATGATAAAGTACTCAATTAAAATGTCCAGAATATGGACAATGAATATTTATTCAAATGTTAAGTTATAAAATGATTAGTATAATACTATTCGTATTAATGGATGGCTTGTTTAATGTGTATATATTTGGTTAATAGATATCACTATTTTATTATACCTAATCTGAGATTTCTTAAATTTTGCAACTGATTTTTAAAGAAAGATTTCATAATGTGAAGATTGTACTCATGCGCGTGTTGTAATAACTGAATAAAGGAGAACATTTTGCTTATTGATATAAAAGATGTTTTCAAGTGTATCGTTTTCTGTCTGTGAGATGAGCGTTATTCGTTGATTATGATTGCTGCTGCTTTATAATAATAATAATATAATGATGATACATGTATATAATTATGAGTTAGCGGGGGTGATAGTAATATCGAAGATAGTGATGGTTATTGATGATGGTATCGTTGATGTTAATGGTGATGGTAATGCTGATGATGCCAGGGATGGTGGTGGTGGTGGTGGTGGTGATGATGGCGATAGTGGTGGTGATTATAATAACAAAACTTGACGAAGAGTTTGTGTTCATAACAGTCACAAAAACTGGGGGATGGGTAATTTTGAGCTCTGTGAAATTATATTGATATTAATTATTCCATAAAAGTTGATTTGAAAGAAGAAGAGGACAGTGGTGATGATGAAAGTGATTGTGGTGGTGAATACGGATGATGATTGAGGAGGGTGGTTGGTGATGTTGCTGTTGTTTGTAGTGGTTATGGAAGTGGTGATCAGTGGCGGATCCAGGGGGGGCCCGGGGGGCCCGGCCCCCCCCCCCCTTGAGAAAAAAATCATGTAAAATCACGTGATTTTTACCTTTTTGGGGGGTTGGCCCCCCCCCCCCCCTGGCGCTCAAGGGGGGGGGGGGGTGCAAATTGAAATTTTTTTTGAGGATCAAAAAAAAAAAAAAATGTGCTCAATAATAATAATAATAATAATATCAACATCACGAAGTGCCCTAAAGTTTTTCAACTACAAGAAGCACAGTTTTGCCAGTCGCGCCCAAAATTCGCACAGTTTGTCCATGGTTAGGAAGGGGTGTTTTGTAATGTCATTCATTAATGGCCTTTTATTTTTGCCTGTATTTGGTTTAAAGCATCAACATCTAACACATACTCTGTTGACTTTTAAAAAAGAGCTGGCCAAGGGAAGATGACCCCACCCCTCCTTTCCTCATGTAACCCCACCCCTCCTTTTTTCATGCAACCCCTACCAGTTCAGTACGTGTCCTCGACGATATCTTTTTGATAAATGATACGGTCTACTGGCGCAGAGGACGCTAGACCAAAACTAACATAGCCAACATTATATTAGTGTGCAGCAAGCATGCATGCCAGCTCCGCTCTGACAGCGAGCTGCTAAAGAACAACGTGTAATTTGATACCAAAACACGGACGGCGCACATATTGCACCTGTGCATATAATATACCAGGAAGTCGAGTTTTGGTAGTGTTCCGCGGAATTTTGGAAATCATGTTTGACATAATTTCTCACGTTTGGACCAATATGGCACATCCCAAAGGATTTCTAGCGGTAGTACTGCTAACTTATTGTAAGTATCAATCTTCAATTCTCACAAACTTGCTTCAAATTCGCGAAGTTAGCGCGAACACGGTAAATCAATTATTACCAGGCCTCTCGCAGCGCTGGGCGGGTGGTGTCAATAGGCCCCTATACAAAAGTCATTAGATGCACAGAATGAATTGAAGCGCGCGGCTTTTCAACGGCATTGTGGTGTATTATGTAGCCGGGCGGTTCGGCTTGGCTAGGTGTTGACGGGTGGTCGCGTGGCTGGCTGGAGGCTGCCTGTGTTCTGTAAATGTCGAGTGCATAATTGTTGGTGTGTGTCGTGGAATTCGCCCTGTAATTCGGCACCAGGCAGCCATAAAGGCGTAAATTAGGTTTGTGTTTTTCTCATTGAGTGTCATTTTGCCGTGACCGACGAGACATAAAAGTTCAAATTTTGTTTTCAGTTTCAGGAGTTGGAGATTACAAAAATGTTGATGATGTGCCAGATCAAAACTTATTATAGGCCTAATAACTTTGGCAATGGCTTAAAAAACCTGTAAATAAATCTTTGGAAATAAGCAAGTACAAAGAATATTGGTGATGGTACCTGCATTGATGATGAGTATGATGGTGATTATGAATAGGCCTGATTATGATAGTGATGTGATAATAAGTATGATGATGACGATACTACAAAATGTACTATACTACTACTACTCCTGATATGATAATAATAGGCCTAATGATAACAATAACAATGATATAATAAAAATTAAAATGATAATAATGATATTATTATAACTTGGCCAACTCACAAGCATTCATGCTGTCTTAGTAGTCAGGTAAACCACCACTTAAACATAGTATTTTTTTCTTTTATGTAGTCAAAGAGGAGGGATGGAGGATGGGGGAAGAAAACATGAAGGATAGAAAAGCTAGATGAAGAAAGAGAAGAACAAGAGGGATATAAAGAAAGAGACACCTTATAAATAATATACACTATAGTCTTTGTAGCTTTCAGTGTTTGAATGGAAAAACATCCGATTGGACCAAATGACCAAACAAGACTTAGCATATAATAAGAACTAACACAATCAATTATACCAAATGTATCGTTGAACTTTAAAGAGAGAGACGGAGGGGAGGGGATTAAAAAAGAAAGACAGTACGAGAAGCGGAGAGAAAAATGAGATGTGTAGGAAGAGAGAGGGACTAATATTAGACGTTGATAATAGATCGGGAATATTGATGATAAATATGAACAGGACAGGGTCAGGTGGATACAGCACTAATAAATACAGACCGAAAGCTATGGGGAGATATCGTATGCAGGTGAAGAAGAAGACAACAAAAAAGAAATAACAATGTTAACAAAATAACGAGGGGGGACCAAGAGCAGCTGAGGCCTGGACGAGTGAAGACATTCGCTGATCGATCGATAATAAAAACATTATTTTTGGCCACAAGGCCAATCGCTCTGCTTTTTAAAATTGCATCCTCTGTTGGCGTAATATTTATGTTTTGGAGAGGACATCATTCATTTTTGAAAATCAATTTTTGCCCCGGGCTTCAAGGTGCACGTCTAAATCGTGAATTATTTCCTATACTGAAATGGCGATGCTACAACGTTATGGGTGCAAAAGGTGCATGTATAGGGGAAAATTTGACCAAAGTTAGTAGGAGTCAGAAAGGCAAAATGTTGGCATCAAAAATATATCTTGAAGTTGACAGTTTTTCCCCAAAAAATAATCTATCTAATTACCATTGAGAATAAACTATTTCATCTCGATGTCAGCCTTTGTGGTTGCTTGTCAATACAAATGCTCGTAGAAGAAGAAGAAGAAGAAGAAGAAGAAGAAGAAGAAGAAGAAGAAGAAGAAGAAGAAGAAGAAGAAGAAGAAGAAGAAGAAGAAGGAGGAGGAGGAGGAGGAGGAGGAGGAGAAGGAGAAGGATGAGGAGAAGGATGATGAGAAGAAGGAGAAGAGTAAGAAGAAGGAGGAGGAGGGGGAGGTCTGGAGGAGAAGAAGAAGCAGAAGGAGGAGGAGGTCTGGAGGAGAAGAAGAAGAAGAAGAAGAAGGAGGAAAAGAAGAGCAGATGCCGCTCAGCCTGTCGTGCTTTAGATTCATTAAAAGTTACGTTGTCAATTTTCAAAACTCGGGTAGGGGTCCAGTATGGGTTGGGGGGGGGGGGGGGGGTGCGTGGGGAGTGGTTGAGAAAATTACTGGAATATTAACTATGTATATACTAATGAACGGCCTTCGCTTGCTCAGTACGTATGTCGAATTCAATAACAATTCTTATTCATTACCATTACATTTGTAAGCTTTGTTCCCTATTTATGCAGATCTTATTGCGGTTGTGGTTTATATTTTCATAACGATATTTCCTGCGTATATAATGATCTACCTGTACAATGCATTTTTTTTTTCGGTGTAGGAAGGTAAACCACAATTTACATTGCTTCATATCTACATACTATATGTATTTCCTGAGATGTGTACAGATCTGTTATATCGGAAGGGTTAGGGGGGGGGGGGTGTAATATTAGGACTCTTTCAACAATTATTTGTTTTGCTGCAGCTGCAACCTTTACCAGTGTATGATCACAATACTTCCCTTTAGAGTTTTGACATTTCAGTAAATAGACAAAAGGCATTTGTTCGATTGTTTTTCATCTCGATGTCAGCTTTTGCGGTCGCTTGTCAATACAAAAGCTCGTAGTTAAACATAGAAGCTAAATATTATCTCTGACTCTGAGTCTATGTGCTGGTTATCGTTTATCATTTGGGGGAATTGGTTTATGAACGCATGCAGTCAATGCGTACATAGTAATTTGTGAAAGGAATTCAGGTTTCGTTGTGAACGTATTGATATCAATTTGTTATGAATTTAAATATCGAAGTGCATATATGAAATCGCCATAGCACACACTTTCTCCGAATTTTATTTCGTAAAAGGTATATGGGTAGTGTTATTATGGTCAGGGTTCAATTCGCTTTAAGGTTTAGGGTTGGGTTTTGGGTTACATGTAGGTAAAACGTTGGGTCCACGGTTGAAGTTAAGTATTTGGTTATTGACACTGAGCAATTGTCGAAAGAGGAAGTGTCGTATATATATACAATCATTTTTTTTTTGTTAATACGAGCAAGCTAACCAAGACTGCATAAGATTGTAAGACAAAACATATATTTCCCTTTTCTCTCGCCCCTTTCAGAGGCTTATTTTTTTTTTCCGGGGGGGGGGGTGGGCTCAGATAAGCCAAACCAAATTTATTCATCCCCTCCTCTCCCTCAAAAAAAAAAACATTTTTTTTTTTTTAATCGCATGATGAAGGCTATACACATGCACAAAGAAGACGAAAGAAAGACGAAATTGAGGTGTCATATGAAAGGCAGAAAATGAAGTTTCTAGAAACTATGTGATTTTGTCTTTGAAATTCAGATACCACCCTTAAAAATGACTTTTTAGTTTTCCTCTTCAAAATGTTTGTATTCACTCATGCGTGACATAATATGAGTGGCATCAACTGAAAGAGGAGTATCTAAGCTTTACCAATGTGTGTATTATGATTGTGATTAAGTTATGACAAAACATCGATAATTCTCGGTTTCGTTTTTTTTCTGGGACGCACTGTACAATGTATACATCCGTTGCTGGCCCATTGAAAGAAAGCTTCGTCAATAACGCAGAAGGTTAAATAGGATTACATGTGTAAATCATTATTAATAATGAAGTATTGATTTGGTTATGATCAGATTGATTAGAAGTCAGATTAGTTTGTTTTGCAGCGGTTCTTAAAGATCGTTTTACGAACAATCAAATTTATGGATCTTTCTTTTCTTGGGACATAATTATTTAATTAACCTGTAATTAATTAATGAACTACAATACTTCAAGTTTTCAAGAACAACCCGCTTTGTTTAAAAAGTATGCATCAAATACGAATATGTTAGTAAACCGATCTAATCATCGGGGATGCGCTATCGAGGACTCCCCCCCCCCCCCCCCCAACAACAAAAAAACACTGTTTCTCGTTATTTGTTTACCTTCACTTAATAACATGTGCTTTTCATGTATTAAAGGGAAGTTCACCCTGAGATTTATTGGGTTTTAATAAGAACGGTTAAATCCGAGAAATCTATTTTTCTCATGTTTCTGCTTTTATTGAAACCACAAAAATCCAGCGCGTACTTCCCCTTTGGCTTTGAAATATACATATAGACCTTTGAGATGTTGTCCATGTTTATGAGTAGTGCCAGCAGTTAATTATTTTAGGTAAATCTGTTATTTGTTTATATTATTATGAACAAAAAATGGGGTGGTACAGAGCGCCCCTTGCCCCTTCTCTGCCTTGAACTACGCTACCGAACATGGAAAACCAACATACATTTTTGAAAAAAAGTTGAATATCATATATACCCTCCACATTGTGGCTAATTGAAAATACAATTTCTCGCCTCTTTCTCCTTCCCTTTATCGTCTCGCCGGATATTATTCTCAAAATTAAAACAGCTACAATCTTAAGACATCTAGACAATGTGGCTTTTTCTAGCCCCATCTACATTACTCACCTTTTTATGTTTTAATGTTGATGTTTGTTAACTGAAGTAGATTTTCATTGTTCTTTTATGCTTAAGTATCTGTTTTTCATTTGCTCTATGTGTCAAATGTATTAAATGTATTTTCTTACCTTGTATATTCTTGTGGTTTTTAATGTGGAAAATAAATGAAATGAAATGAAATGAAATGAAACACAAATAATTCATATAATGCAATGCCACGTTGTTAAGCCTCTGTAGTACATGTGCGACTCACAAAAGAGATATCGATATGTATGTTGAAATAGACCCAATATAATCTCTATGTAAGAAAATATATTAATTAACAAATAACATTGAATCTCCTCCTCCCATTTTCTAAAAATCCTCATGAGAAACTAGGATTAGGAATTAGTTTTACAGCTTATTGTTGCCCTCCTACACTGTTCAGCATTATACCTGTTGTGTTCATAATGTGCAGACTACATGTACATGTAGTATAGAA